TCCAAAAAATTAGACCAAAAATGGACTTAGGGATGACTCAAGTGGTAAGTGCCTGCTTTGCAAATATGAAGCCCTGAGTTTCAAACTCCATCCACCAAAAAAAATATATATATACAAAGGAACAAAATAACCTAATCAGTAAATTAAAAATGAATTGGATCCATCAAAGAAAGCACAATAAAATACATGTGAAAGAGTGATCCAACATGTTAACTATTAGAGAAATGCAAATAAAAATTACATTAAATTCCATCTCAATGAGTCAGAATTGGCTATCCATTTAAGAAACAACAAGAAAATGCTGGCAAGGATGCAGTGAGGTACAGGGTAGAAAAACCCTTATCTGCTGTTGGTGGGAATGTAAATAGTGCAGCCGCCTGCAGAGATCAGTATGGAAATTTCCTCAAAAAATTAAAAACAGAACTTATTGTATCATTTCAGCGTACCACTCTTGGGTAGATACTCAAAGGAATCGAAGTCAGGCAGGACAATAGAGACACCCTGACATCCATGTTTACTGCAGCACTATTCATAATAGTTCAAGTTATGGAATTCAGCCTAGCGTCCGACAAAGGTTAATGAATGGATAAGCCAAATTGTATGTATACACAAGGGAATGGTTTTTTGGGGTAATAAGCATTTCTTTATTTTTATTTTTTGTGTGAATTACAATATTTTAAAAACATTTTGGTTAGCATGTTATTATTTGTACAGTGATTATACTGGTGATCATTTCCAATATATGTTACAATGTACCTTGGTTAGGTTCAATTCCCCACGTCATCTCCCTCATCCTCCCCCCTACTTAAAAATGATTTTGACAGGTTTCAGTGTATCTTCTTATTAACAAGTATATAAGTACATCAACCATATTCAACCCTCCTTTACCCTCTTTATCCCCCTCCTTTTTATTCTTCCCATAATAGGATCTGTTTACATTCATTATTGAGTATAGTATCATAGTTCAAAGGGGTGTTGCCATGGTAGTTCACCAGTGACATATTGTACTTGATTTAGTCTAACCCCTTACAATGGTTTTTATTCAGCCATAGAGAAGAATGAAATTATGTTTGTTTAGGAAAATGGATGGAAACTGGAATTTATCATGTAAACCAGACTCAGAAGGGACTATTCAATATGTTATCTCTTCCACATTGCAGAATCTAGAAAACTTTTAAAAAAAAGATGTTTAAAGCTAGAAAATGACATTTGGGAAGAAGGAGACCAGCTGGGAGTGGCGGACAGGGAATGAGGAGAGGAAAATAGCAGGTGATTGTAGGTTTCCCGCCTGGTTCGACAAGTACATCATTGTACAGGTATGAAAATTGCCACATGAGCCATATTTTGTACAATTAGTACACTACTAATAATAAAAGGAAAATAAATGGTACTGGGTCATGGAGCCCTATCCCTGTTGTAACTAAGATTATGTTGGAGATGGAACATAGGACTAATGGTGATGAAGCATGGGAAAACATCTCTATAATCTTGGGGTAATGCAAATATTCAAAACCAGGACACTGAATGTGCAAACATAAATGATAGATAAATTGGACTTCAGTTAGAATTAAGAACTTCCATTCATCAAAGACACACTGAAGAGTGAAAACACTAGCTTACAACTAGAGAAAGATATTTGTAATTTATGTATGTATTTGACAAGTGATTCTTTTACAAATCAATGTGAAAAGCATAAACCAATTTAAAATCGGGCAAAGAAAACAGCTTCAATTAAGCAAACCTCCTAAATAGCAATTAACACGAAAGATTTTATCATTAATCATTCAGGAAAATACAAATTAAAAGCTATGATGGACATCCTGCTTACACACCTGCTCACTAGAATTGACTAAAATTAATAGCAACAAAAATAAAACATGACAATTGCCAGTGTAGAGAAGATGTGGAAGGGCAACTGGATTTCCCTCACTTTGATGAAGGGGGTAAATTGCGGTACTACCGGGTTTAGAAAAAACTGAAGTTAAAGAAACACCTACCCTATGAATTTAGCAATTCACTCCCAGTTATACATACAAATTAGAATATTAGTGTTATGTCCATTATGGCCACAAAAGCATTATGTTTATTATTATTATTGTCTTCGTGTCAAGGATGGAACCCAGGGCCTCATGCCATGCTAGGCAAGTTGCTGTCCCACTGAACGTATCCTCAGTCCAAGCAGTTATTCGTAATAATTAAAATTGGGAGCTATAGCTCAGTAGTTAAACTGCTTTACTAGCCTTCAAAGAGGCCCTGTGTTCAATCCCAGGCACCGAAACAGAAAAGGAGAAACAATCCAAATAACCATCCACAGAAGAGTGGATATATTTTGGCATATTACAATTATATAAGATGAAAAAGAACAAACAATAAATACAATCTGATGAACCTCACCAACCAAATGTTGATGAAAGAAACGCATATAAAACAGAGTACTTTCTATCTTTGTCCACTTACGTGGCTTTCCCAAGAAGCAAATCCAAACTCACGATTGGTTGTGAGAATTCAGAATAACCCTTGGTTACAGAGTTTACACGGGCGGAAGATTCTGTGGTGCTGCTGAGGCTATAAATGGCAAGTTAGAGTGCAACAAAACTCATCGTATCAGAATTTTTTTTTTTTTACTGAATTTCTCCTTGGTTTGCTGCAAGCCTTTAATTTATAGAGCTATGAAAGTTGGATTTGGATGCGTTCCTTGCTGTTGTTCTGACTGTTTTATGGGAAGAGCTGAGTTTTGGAGGCTTCTTCCTTCACTATTTCTACTTTGTTCTACCAAGTGTTTGTTTTCCCCCCATGATATGTCTAGCTTAGAATTGCCCAGGTTGATGAAAATACAGACTAGGTGGCTTAAACATCAAGAAATCTAGTTTTTCAGAGTGCTTGATGCTAGAAGTCTTAAGATGACAGCTGTCATCAGATCCAGGTCTCCGTGAGCGGGACCCTCTATTTTCAATGCGGGGCTTCTTACTGTGTTGCCAATATGGCCTTTCCTCGGTGTCTAGGGTTGTGCGTGCCTGTGTATGCTTCTCTTCTTAAAAGGCCACAACCTGGTCAAATTCGGCCCCACACTATGACCTTATTTCACTTTTAATATACCTCCAAGTCCTGTCTCCAATAACAGTCACATTGTGGTTAGGCTTCCAACATACGGATTTTGAGAAGGTCTGTGGCATTAGTATATCTTAGTTTGGATACGCCATATTTCATGTGTCAGTATACGTGTGGACTGGTAAAGTGCGCATCAGTGGTAGAAATGCATTCAGCAAGCGTAGGCCCGGCAGGAATCAAACCCCATACCACCAAAAAAAAAAAATAGAACATGTGTGATTCTGTGTGGAGCAAGTGTAGTCAATAGCTAACCCTTAGCTAGACATTGGTGCTCACACCTTGTAATCCTAGCTTTACTTGGAGGCTGAGATCAGGAGGATTGTGTTCGAGTCAGCCGGGGCAAATAGTTCCCAAGACCTCGTTCCCAAAATAAACCATAAAAGCAAAATAGCGCGAGATGTTGGCTCAAAGCCTAAAGCCTGCAGTTCAACCCCAAGTCCAATAATTAAAAAAAAATACCTTCTAACTAATGAAAGATTTGGGGTAATTGTGAATATAGAAAGAATAACCTGGGGTTTTCAGTGGTTTAGGCCTATAATTTCCTAGCTACTCATGAGGCTGAGATTCAGGAGGATTGTGGCTTGAAGCCAGTTCAGAGGACAAATAGTCACAAAAACCCCTTATCTCAAAAAAACTGGTCGTGAAAAAGGGCTGGTTAAGAGTGGCCTCAAGGCTATAGCCCCAAAGTTCAAGTCTAGTACTGCAAAAAAAAATTGTGTGTGTGTATATATTAATGTATGCATAATTGTTGCAGGCATTGAAAAAGAAGATTCTTTTAGAGTGTTCTACAAAACACCAGGTTCATAGGCACTAGTGTAGTGCGTTGAATTTGAGGATCACACTTTCATTTGAGTTGGCCAGTAGTTCTAATCCCTAAACACTTGCTCAATTGGCCAGCAAGCAGCCCAGAGCAGGAGGTAGCTCTGTTTTTTTTTTTTTTTGGACTGCAGCTTGATAACAGGACCATTTTTTTACCTTGAACCCACCTCTTTTCTTTTTCTCTTTTTGCGTGATTATTGGAGTTCCTCCCTTTTTTTGGCGCTATTAAGTTAGTTTTCTTTAATAGGGGTCTTGATTTAGCCTGGACTGCCCCATTTATGCTTCCTGCAGTAACTGGGATAGACAGGCATCTCGGCCATTGCCCTGCTGTTGGTTGAGATGGAGTCTTTACAAAACTTAGGAGGATTATGATTCTCCTAATCTCTGCCTCTAGAGTTAGTTAGGATTAAGGCGTAGAGCCCATTGTGCCTGGCTTTTACTATTTTGAGACGCCACTGTGCAGGAGGTGGCCACAAGTGTATATCTTATGACATAAGGATGGTACTTTAATTTTTTCTGTTAGTTCGGTTTTGGGGGTTTTTTTGGCTGCTACTAGGGTTTAACTCAGGGCCTTGAGTTTGCCAGGGCTTGTGCTCTATCACTTGAATCACTCCTGCAAGCCTCTTAATGGTCTTTTAATTTTTATGAGACTTAAACTTAAAGAAAAAATCTTGCGTGTAGATTTTATTTTTATTTATTTATTTATTATTGGCCTCACACTTTCTAGATGGGCGCTCTGCCACTTGCAGCCACTCTGCTAGCCCTGGTGTTAGATGCTTTTAAAAGCTTACATATATTCATTATAACTATTCTAGTTATAAAATATAATGCTTGTTTATAAAAAGGAAAAAGAAAAATTGAGAAAGTCTACAACTAAAGCAGTAATGCTCTCCACCTATTTCCCTCTCCCAGTAGGCACTCTTCAGAAGGCACTAATATTAGGAATCTTGCTTTTTCAAAGTAGGGTTCCAAATGGACATTTCAGGAAAAAATTGCAGTTGCTTGGATAACAATTTCAGTGGTGTTTTTTACTGTTTCCTAGATCTCTGCACCTAATGAGTTGATGTCATGTTCAACTGGAAGTCCCTAGGATTCAGCTAGAAGAATATTCTAACAGTGGTGCTCATTACTTTGTGAAGTTCAAGAAAAATCCCAAAGGAAATCCTCTGAATCAGTTTTTAGAAAATGACATATTGTCAGCCTCCAAGATGCTTTTAAAGTTTAGGAAAATCATTAAGGAAGAAATTAAAAACATCGAAGGTAAATTCTCGACTTTTGCTTCTTAAAGTTCTAACACTGCCTACTAATTGCCATTATACACTCCTGTCCTGATTCTTTTGACTCCCGCAGTGGACCCCAGTACTGCAAATAAATGAAATAAATAAATAAGCAAGTAAATAATAACTAAATAAAGTGAAGTTCAATTTCACCTAGTCTTTCTTCCTCCCACTTGCTCTGTTTTGAGGAGCTGTACCAGTATCAGTGATTTTCAGGACAAAATCTTGGATGGCCTCTCAGGCTCCTGCTTGCTTCTCACCCACCTGATAGGCTCCCCAGTTGTTTGAGGGTTTTTGTTTATTTATTTGTTTGTTTATTTATAGATGGGATTGTGCTACATTACCCAGGTTGGTCTGGAAAACATTCTGTGGGACGCTAGAGATTAAACTCAGGGCTTTGTGCACGTTCAGCTATTACCCACCCACTCACCCAGCCCCATCCCTGATTCAAACTTGTTTAATTGCTCTTACTTCTTCCTGTGTCTCACTTTGTAGCCCAGGCTGGCCTCAAACTCGAGATCCTCCTGCCTTAGCCTCCTGAGTATTGGAATTACAGGTGTGCCACCACCATGTCTGGCTTGCTTCCTGTCTTGATGCTCACTACTTGTGCAAGACTGTGGCTGTGGTCTGCTATCCTGCCTCTCTCCTCTTGGCCACTAGGTGGCCTCTTTTGCAGGTTTCCCTCCACAATTCTAAATGAAAATTTAATCACAGCACTTCCAAACCTTAAAGTCTCCAGGGGCCTTTCATCATATGTAGTAGACAGAATCTTGACAATATCTCTTGATCATAGGTATCAATAAACATTGTTTAAGTTAGTAAATCACTGTCTTGTGGGGCCTGTTTCTGTTTTATCACTTTATATTTACCACTTTTCTGGGTCTTCAATTATAATTATAAGCCTTCTCTTCTGTATGTTTAAACAGATGCAGATGTCAGTATGATGAAGAAAAAGAAAGGCAGTCCTGCTGTAACGCTTCTTATTAGGAAACCTGAAGAAATATCTGTGGATATAATCCTGGCTTTGGAATCAAGAAGTAGCTGGCCTGCCCGCACCTGGGATGGCCTGCCCATCCAGAACTGGCTTGGTACAAAAGTCAGGAACAAACTAAGACGACAGCCATTTTACCTTGTACCCAAGCATGCAAAAGAAGGAAATAGTTTTCAAGGTATGTTGAATGTAAAGACCAAGGTAAGGACATAAGAGAGTTGCTAGTGTTTTATGCTAGGGCAGTAGAAGACCTAATGACGTTGGCATCTCAAGAGCCCCAGGGTAGAGAGGTGAGGAAATGAATTTGGTGAGAGATGGAATTGAAAAGGACATAGTTGAGCCAGGGACCAGCGGCTCATGCCTGTAATCCTTGCTACTTGGAGGTTGAGATTGGGAGGATTGCAGTTTGAAATCAGCCCAGGCAAATAGTTCATAAGAATCCTCCAAAACAACCAGAGTAAAATGAACTGGAGGCCTGACTCAAGCAGTAGAGTGCCTGCTTTGCAAGCATGAAGCCCTGGTTCAAACCCCAGTCCCACAAAAAGAAAAAAGAAAATGATATAGTTATAACAGTATTGTTAAATACTTGGCTTTAAAATGTGCAGTAGCCTGCAACTACTTTTATTACTTATTTATTTTGCACTACTGGGGTTTGAACTCAGGGCCTTGAGCCTGATAGGCAGGCACTCTACCACATGAGCCATACCTGGCCTGAATTTAATTTTTTTTAAATAAATAAAGGCAGTACAAGACTGGAGGTGTGGCCACATCTCCAGACCACAAACTGTGCTTTTTTGTTTTTGTTTTTGTTTATGGTTTTGGTTGTTCTGGGGCTTGAACTCAGGGCCTCATTCTTTCTAGTCAGGCACTCTACCACTTGAGCCACTCTACCAGCCACAAACTATATTTTTAAAAATATAATTTGTTTTTATTGACTTTTAATTAAAATTTTAATTTGTCTCAAATCTGTTTCAAAACTGGCATCAGTATAATTATCAAGAACATAATTATGATTTACATTTCTTTTCATTTTATGATTTCTTTGCAGTTCTTCTGTTCTTAGGATATTAGAATAGTCAAATATCAGGATTTATTTTTTATGTATTTATTTTTTCTTAAAAGTGAACATACTACAGATATTAGGTTTTATACTTACTTGAAAAATTTCCCTGAGCAATTAGACTACCAGCTCTCCATAGTTAAATTCACTTGTTTCTTTATAGCTTCTGTTTTTAGATACTGATTTTTAAATTTTCATCTAATTTTTTTGATGGGGTCTTGCTATGTTTCCAGGGTAGTCTTGAACTGCTGTGCTCAAGTGATCCTCTGCCTCAGCCTCCTAAGTGCTGTGATTGCAGGAATGTGCCACAATGCCTGAGTTTTATGTACTTTTGTTTCATAAATTTATAAAGCATTTATTCAAGCACTCATTCATATGGCTACAAAGTCCAAGTTCAGAAAAAGGTATATGTATAGGAACATATATTCTATTCATGTCTCCACCACTCTTCATTCCTTATATGAGCAGATACTCTTGTTTTCACTTTGCCCTTCTAGATAGACAGATACATAGATAGATGGATTCATATGCCACTCCTTTTAAGATAAAAGGTACACCTCCCTTTTTTTCACTAAACATTGTGGGTATCACACCATAGCTCTATGGAGAGATAACATTCATTCCTTTTGTGTGTGTGTGTGTGTGTGTGTGTGTGTGCACACTAAACATATATTCTACCACTGATCTATGCCGCCAGCCAATTCATATTCCTTTTTACAGTTGTTTTTGGGGGGTGGGTACTGGGGTTTGAATTCAGGGCCTACACCTTGAGCCACTCTGCCAGCCCTTTTTTGTGTTGAGTGTTTTTGAGATAGGGTCTCACTAACCATCTGCCCAGGCTGACTTTGAACCAAGATCCTCCTGATCTCTGCCTCCTAAGTAGCTAGGATTATAGGTGTGAACCACCAGTTCACAGTCTATTTTTTTTTAAAACTGGTTAAAAGTTAATAATTTTTTAAATTTAATTTTGTTCTATATTGCCAAATTTTCCTCCATAGAGACCTTATATCGATTAGCATTTCCACAGGAATTTGTCAGAGTACCTGTTTCACCCTCAGCCTCATCAACGGAAGTGTAATGAGGGGTAGAAGAAGCTGAGAGACGACTCCACTTTTTGTGTGTGTGTGTGTGTGTGTGTGTGTGTGTGTGGTACTGGGAGCAGAACCCAGGGGCCTCCTGCATGCTAGGCAAGTGCTTTATCACTGCACTATAGCCCCAGTGCTCATAAACAGAACTTATTAAACTTTTTGCCACTGAGAATTTTTGCAAGTAGCCCAAGAAGTGAGAAGAAATATCTCAGTGTATTTTTGTTGCTGTTTTCTACAGCATTTGGGTTTTATCAAACCCAGGCCCCTCATGTTGCTAGGCAAGGACGCTACCACTGAGCATGCCCCCAGCCTTTACCCTCAGTGTATTTTTTTTTTAAACTAAACTTTATTTTGGAAAGTTTTAGAGTTATGGAAAACTTACAGAAACAGTGCTCAGAGTTTCCATATACCCCAAACCCTTTCTCTATTTTTAACACCTTTGATTAATACGATTTATTTGTCACAATTAATGAACTAATATTGATACACTGTTGTTAACTGAAGTTCATACTTTATCTAGATAGCCTTAGCTTTTACCTAGTGTCCTTTTTCTGTTCTAGGATCCGATCAACGATGTCATTTATTCATATCTCTTAGGTTCCTCTTGACTGTGACCCTTTGTCAGTCTTTGTTTTTGATGACATTGGCAGTGTTGAGGAGTACTGGTCAGGTATTTTGTAGAATGTCCTGTGACTGGGATTTATCTGATAGTTTTCACCATTACATTGCAGATATGGTTTTGGGGGAGTAAGGTCACAGAGGTAAAGTGCCATCCTCATCCCATCATACATATCGAGGATATCTGTCATGAACACAACTTGGCACTCATGTTAACCTTGATCACCTGGATGAGGTGCTGTTTGTTTGGTTTCTTCACCGTTAAGTTCTTTTTTTTCTCCTTTCTTATACTGGACTATTTGGAAGGAAGTCAGTCTTAAGGAATAGGAGTTATGCTTCTTTGAGGGTGGAAGATAAGTTGCTTCCAGACTTAACATTAGTTTTACTCATGATTATTTTTTTTGTTGGGACTGTAATTTGAATTCAGGGCTTTGTGCTTATTAGGCAGGTGCTCAAGAGGCACACCTCCAGCACTATTTTAGGTATTCTTGACCCTTTGCATTTTCATATAAATTTTGGAATTAGTATGTCAAGTTTTACAAAACACTTTTTGAAATTTTGACAGAGATAACATTGAATCTGTAGACAAATTTGGGGAGGCTTGATATGTTGACAATATTGACTCTTCTATTCCATCACTTGCAGACTGGCAGAGTGGCTCACGTGGTAGAGCACCCGCCTAGCAAGTGTGAGGCCCTGAGTTCAAACCTCAATACTGCCCAAAACAAAAAAATCTAAACCGTCACATGTCTATATATTTATTTAGATTTCCAGTACTTCTTAGAGAAGTGTTAGTTTTCTCTACAGAGGTATTGTATATCTTTTGTTGGATTTACTCACAGGTAATTGATCTATCTTAAAAGTTTTATTGTAAAAAAATTTTAAACCAGTAGAAAAGTAGACTGAGAACTATTTTAAACTCCTAAACTCCCACATACTTCAACAGTAATGAACTTGCCAGTCTTGATTTATCTACAGCCCTGTTCACTTCTCCTTCTTACTGTTTTGAGGCTAATGAAATGTAATTTACATATATATGCATATATATATTTCAGTTTACATTTCTAAAGAATAGGACTTACAAATTCAATTATTGTACTTAAATGAATAATAATTCCCTAATTATCAAACATCTAGTCATTGTTTAAATTTCCACTTGTCTCTTATTATACTTTTTTCCACTGGTCTTTTATTTTCACTAGGCTTCAAATAAGGTTTCCGTATCACGAATGTCTGACATGTCCACCACATCCCTTTTATTTTTATTTATTTATTTTACTTATTGTTTTATTATTCATATGTGCATACAAGGCTTGGGTCATTTCTCTCCCCTGCCCCCACCTCCTCCCTTACCACCCACTCCGCCCTCTCCCTATCCCCCCCCATCCCCTCGATACCCGGCAGAAACTATTTTGCTCTTATCTCTAATTTTGTTGAAGAGGGAGTATAAGCAATAATAGGAAGGAACAAGGGTTTTTGCTGGTTGAGATAAGGTTAGCTATACAGGGAGTTGACTCACATTAATTTCCTGTGCATGTGTTACCTTCTAGGTTAATTCTTTTTGATCTAACCTTTTCTCTAGTTCCTGGTCCCCTTCTCCTATTGGCTTTTAAGGTATCTGCCACCACATCCCTTTTAACTTATAGCTTCTCCCCAGCCAGTTTTGAATTTACTTTTGTCATGTAGCGTTTCTTAACAGAGAATACTAACATGTTCTACCTTCTTCTGTATTTCACTGCTTAAATGAAATGTCATTGGTAATTCATATTTTATGCCATTATAAATAATGTCTCCCTTAAAAACTCATGTTTTGAAAAGATGACCTCAATGTATAGAGGAAATAGTAGTGAATGGGAAGGGGAAGGGGTATTAAGAGAGGTTGGGGGAGAGGGAAGGGCAAGGAAAAGTAGTAGGCAGGACAGAATAAAGTAGGATAATTGCATATAGGGAAATGTCACAGTGAAACCCATTAATATATACAATTAATATGCATTACTAATAATAGTTATATATTGAAATACATTTGGCTTTCATCTATGCAGTCAATTTTGTGAACTTAGTAAATTCTTTTGCATATTCTATATGTACAATTATGTCAGCTTATCAATAATGATAACTTTTAAATTACTGGGAAACTATCCTAGTTTTACCAAACATATTTTCTGGATCATTATTTAAATTTAAAATGTCTCTAATTTGAATGCCAATAAAATTAGTTGTAATCTTTGTGTGTGTGTGTGTCGAATTAGGATTTGAACTCAGGGCTTCTCACTTGCAAAGCAAGCACTCTACCACTTGAGCCACACCTCCAGTCCTTTTTGTTCTGGTTATTTTTGGAGGTGAGGTCTTGCAAATTATTTACCCAGGCTAGTCCAGAACCATTATCTTTCTGATACAAGAAGATAGACTGGGAAGGAAGACGGGGCACCTGGCTTGGTTATAATCAAATTTTAAAGTAATAATAATAACAAGCATCTGTCCTCCCCACTTAAAAAAGGTAACTTTGTTTCCCCTTTCTAGTACTGTTCTTTCTTCTTGCTGTTTACTGGGACACCTATTGCACATTGAAATAGGGATTTCAGACATCCTTCCCTTCTTCCTGATTTCAAGCGGAAAACCTTCAAAACTTTTACCTCCTATTAGCATGTTGCTATAGGTTTCTAAAAATCTACTTTTTATCAGAGTAAGAGCTCATCTAGACTTAAATTGCTGAGAGGCATTTTTTATTTAAATAATGAGTGAATGTAGAATTTTATTGGCTGCATTTCTGTATCTGTTGAGAGAATCATATTATGTTTCTCCTTTATTCTATTAATCTGACAGATCATTTTGATTGAGCTTCTAATTATAGACCAATCATGCATTACTGATATAAAACCTCCTAGGTACTAGGATGAGTAGAATTTAAAAGAGCTAGCCATGGTAGACTTGGGAAAAAATGATCCTATTCTTATATAAACTTTCACAAAGAATAAAAAGAAATGTTCCCAAATTTAGTTTACATTAATACCATAACTTGCAAAGCTAGTACAAAAATTGAATCAGTTGATTCAAATTATTATTTAGATTCAGGAACAGTGGTACACATCTGTTTGTCCCATCTACTTGTGAGGCTCAGGTGGGAGGATCACTTGAGCCCAGGAGTTTCAGCCCAACCTGGGCCACAAAGAAAGAACCCATCTCAAAAAAACCCAAACAAATTACTATTGAAATAAAATATTGACAAGCAGAATTTAGCAATATATAAAAGGAAATAGCCAGGCGCTAGTGGCTCACGCCTGTAATACCAGCTACTCAGGAGGCAGAGATCAGGAGGATCACAATTTGAAGCCAGCCCAGGCAAATAGCTTGCAAGACCCTATCTCGGAAAACCCTATCATAAAAAAATTGGCTGGTGGAGTGGCTCAAGGTGAAGGCCCTGAGTTCAAGCCCCAGTACTGCAAAAAAAAAAAAAAAAAAAAGGTAATATATCTTGCCAGACACCGGTGACTCAAACCTGTAATCCTAACTGCTTGGGGAGACTGAGATCAGGAGGATGGAGCCAGCCCAGGCAAATAGTTCATGAGACCCCATTTCCAAAATAACCAGAGCAAAATGGACAGAAGGTGTGGCTCAAGCAGCAGAGCTCTTGCTTTGTAAATGAGAAGCCCTGAGTTCAGGTTATCTATATAAAGCTCTGATCTCCTTCTTTACCCTACCATTTCTTCTCATTTACCTTATCACTTTTTTGCTTACAACGCTTATTTTAATAGTTATATATCTGTTTACTTATCTTGGTTGATCTCCCTCTAGAATTTCTTCAGAGTGATGTGTGTGTGTGTGTGTATGTGTGTGTATATGTGTGTGTGTATGTATATTTTGTGTGTGTGTGGGTGTGTGTGACTGCAGTTTGATCTCAGGGCTTCATGCTTGCAAAGCAAGTGCTCTACTGCTTGAGCCACACCTCCTGTCCATTTTGCTCTGGTTATTTTGGAGATGGAGTCTTGGGAACTATTTTCCTGGGCTGGCTTCAAACTGAGATCCTCCCAATCTCAGCCTGGCAAGTAACTAGGATTACAGGTGTGAGCCACCCACCAGTGCCCAGTGTAGAATGGGAATCACTTAAATATTGTGCTGTTTAGATATGTTTGCTTTCAGTAACATGCTTTTCTATATTTATTTTTTAAAATTAAGAAGGGACGTGGAGGCTATCGTTCTCTCACATTGAAAAGAACCTTTTGAACAATCATGGAAAATCTAAAACATGTTGTGAAACTAATGGAGTGAAATGTTGCAGGTAATGTCCTTATTTGTGTGTGGGGTGGGGGAGGGGTGTACTGGGGTTTGAACTCAGGGCCTCAGGCTTGCTAGAGAGGTGCTCTAGCCCTCCACTGGCCCTGACCTTATTTTTTAATTGGCACATTATCTATGATATGTTTAATTCTTTGTTGACATTTGCTCAAATGTGAGGATGCTGTTGCTGGCTTGGGTTGGGTGTAGAGCAGCAATGGATGACCTGGGAGAGTGTGAGCATATTCTTTTTGAGAAGAGTGAAGAAACCAGAGAATCAGTCTAATTGAACACTCATTCTTGCTCTGGGATGGTGTGGCTGAGTCAAATGCTAAGGGACTGACTGGAGAAACTGAGTAGTTATTTTTCTTGGTAGCATACATACCACTGAAAATAGAAGTTGTTAATTTGACTTTCTAAAGTTGACCAGTATAAACTGGGTGTGGTTGTACATGTCTGTAACTCCAGCTATTCAGAAGGTGGACCTAGAAGAATCCTAGTTGGAGGCCAGCCTGGGCAAAAGTTCTCAAGACCCTATCTCAAAAACAAGTATGGTGCTGGGCACCACTGGCGCATGCCTGTAATCCTTACTACTCAGGAGGCAGAGATAGGAGGATTATGGTTCGAAGCCAACCCTGAGCAAATAGTTTGTGAGACCCTGTCTAGAAAAAACCCATCACAAAAAAGGCTGGTGGAGTAGCTCATGTGGTAAGGGCGCCTGCCTAGCAAGTGTGAAGCCCTAAGTTCAAACCCCAGGACTGCCAAAAACCAAAATAACAACAAAAAAACCCAAGGATGGCATAGTGGGGCATGTCTGGGTCCCAATTACTTGTAAGGGGATCGAGGCCCAAGGCCAGCCTCAACAAAAGTGCAAGCCCTTATCTGAAAAACAAACCCAAAAAGCAAAAGGCCTGGGGGTGTGGCTTAGATGGTAGAATGCTTTCCATCTTGAGGCCTTGAGTTCAAACCCCAGTAGCCAGGGGAAAATAAATGAACAAATAAAGTTGACCAGTATAAAGGTCACGAAAGATCAAAAGTGAAAATAAGAATGCCCAGTGTCTTGGCGAAGAGGCTCTTCAAAGTCTTATGTGCAGGCTTTTTTTTTCCTTTTCATTTTTATGAGTATATATTCATTGTACAAGAGGGATTTCTTGTGACAATTCTGAATAGCTTTATGCTGTGCATTGCTTAGGTCCCCTACCCCTCCACATACTTAACGCAATTACACAAGGTTTCCTCATCCTATTTTCTTTATGTATGTGAAGCCCATCAACCCTACTCCTTCACCTTCATCTCCTCCATGCATCCCCCTTCCCACAAGTTATGTGCAGGCTTTGAAGCAAGCGTTAGGGAAGTCATGTTGCTAAGGAGGCTAGATAATTGACAGTCAATGAAGAACAAAGGTGTTCTAAAGCAACATTTAAAAGAATTTACTTATAAAAAATACTAAATTGGATGAATATTGTAAATATCTGCAGTCCCATAAAGTAAAACATTTATAAAAGAAACTTTTTTTTTTTGCGTACTGGGGTTTGAACTCAAGGCCTACTCCTTGAGCCACTCCACCAGCCCTCTTTTGTGATGGGTTTTTTCAAGATAGGACTCTCAGACTGTTTACCTGGGCTGGTTTCGAACCAGATCCTCCTTATCACTGCCTCCTGAGTAGCTAGGATTATAGGCATAAGCCACCAGTGCCCAGCTAAAAGAACATTTTTTGTAGATACTTTAAATATTTAAAGAGTAATTTAAGTATTTGTTAGTTCTGTATAGTTGATTAATTCTGGTAGAATAAAATGGGTTAACTAGCATTGGGAGAGAAAGAAAATGTGTTGAAGACTTCAAAGCATGTATTTGATAACATAATCAGGTTTAAGGTGATTGTAATTATAATGTTATATCTTTATTGTTTAAATATGTTTTTCCTGCAACATGCCTAAAGTCCTTTGTGAAATGATGTAGGGTGTAAATGGTAAAAGTAAAAGGCTTTCTGTTTTACTTAACAGGAAAGACTGCTTAAAATTGATGAAATTCCTTTTGGAACGGCTGAAAAAAAAGTTTGAAAACCGTAAAGAACTGAATAAATTCTGTTCTTACCATGTGAAAACGGCCTTTTTTCACTTATGCACCCGGGACCCACTGGACTCGCAGTGGGACTTAAAGGGCCTACCGCTGCACTTTGATAGCTGTGTGACATTCTTTCTTGAGTGCCTCAGAACTGAAAAACTGAGCCATTATTTTATTCCTGATGTTAATTTGTTTTCTCGAGACAATATTGACAAAATAAGTAAAGAATTTCTGCTAAGGCAAATTGAATATGAAAGAAACAATCAGTTTCCAGTTTTTGATGAATTTTGAAATTATCTTTTATAAAAAGGGCTGGTGGAGTGGCTCAAGTGCTACCACTCCTGCCTCCTGAGTTCAAACCCCAGAACCACCAAAAAAAAAAAACCTCAAGATTTAGTGACTGTACAATAATTGTGACTGCCATAGCAGTAAATGACTAAAATGAATGTAAATAACTATTCTCAACCCTAATATAAAGGATTTTAGATAAAATATAAAGAATTGACGACACTAGGAGAGGGATAAGTCAAGAAATAAGAAGCAAAAATAGTATTTAAAATCTGAAAGCTTCCCACGGCAGGTACAATGGTGCACCTATGGTTCCAGCAACTTGGATGGCTGAGGCAAGAGCGTCACTTGAGCCCAGGAGTTTGAGATCAGCCTGGGTGACACAGTGACACCCTGCCTCAAATATAAATAAATAAATAAATAATCAATTAAAGTAAAAAATAAGAGCTCTACCAGTTTGGGAAGGGGGGAGAAGTATAAAATGCACCCCCTCTCTTGACTTCATCAAGTACTTACAGACCACCAGTTCTCACTGAGCACAAATGTGATTAGAAGTGATGGTTGCCTTCCTTGGCAGGCTGGGTTCTTCTTACAAATACATTTAGAAGCAATGGGCTGTCCTATATGCTACGATAGGAAAGAAGGAAATGAAAAAACAAGTTCTGCATCACTTCTACATTTCTTAGGAAATATATAATCTTTTTTTCAAGGATTAATTTTAATATAGTAGGATAAAGTAGCAGAGAATTGAGGCAGAGGTAGAAAAGACATTTCCTTTTTCCCATGTAGGAAATGGAAGTAAAGACTCTAGGAAATATATAATCTTACAGGAAAATATGGGGCACTTTAATTGTATGTGATTAGATATAAAACATAACTTATTTTCTTCTATTTATTTTTATCTTGTATGTGTTTCTGGAAAGGTGATAACACGCATATAGTACCAAACTGTGATACATGGTGGTGGGGTAAAATATGACTGTCCTTTTATTCAACAGTATTCAACCTAGAGACAACTGGTGTTCATTAACTGTTTCTTGTTCATATGTTTGGCAATTTTTTGCTTATGGTTCCTCATTGCTTTGTAGCTCTTTGTATGTTTTTGGTACTTAACCTTTGTTTGCTGTCTATGTAACAACTTCTACTATATGGGTTATCGTCACTTTTTTGGGTTTCTTTTAGTAAAGTGAGATTGTAAAATTTTAATGTGGTTGAATTTATTTATACTTTGTGTTCTATGCTTCTTAACAAACTACTATGTTTGAACATACTAAGAGAAAAGTTAGGCATGGGGAGGGGAGTTTTGGGGGATAATTAATAATAATAAATAGAAAAGCAGACAAAAAAATCTAAGCTACACTTAACATTATAAAAATGTGCACAGAAAAAGAAAAGTACACAGGTGACTCAAGTGGTACAGTGCTTTGATTTCAGTTCCCAGCATGAAAAAGAATGAAGACAAAAAAGAAAAGTAGTTGTAGTCTGATTTGCGGCTGTTGCCCAGATGTAAGTATTTATAAAATCATAGCAATACAACAATTGACTATTGGTTTTATTAATACTGTGATTCACCTGTGTAGGGAAGGATAGGCCAACCACCTGAGTGCCTGTCTGGTGAAAGTGGCAGGAGGGAGTGGTGATTACATTGGTTTTCTACTGTTGTATAACAGCCACAAACTAAATGACTTAAAGCAATGCACATTCATTAATTTCAGAGTTTCTACGTGTCAGATGTTCATTGTGGCACTATTCGTAATAGACAAATTATGGAATCAGCTTAGGTGCCCAACAATGGATTATTGGATAAAGAAAATGTGGAGTATTATTTAGCTATAAAGAACAAAATTACATCATTTGCAGGAAAATGGAGGGAGCTGGCGATCAATATGTTAAGTAAATAAGCCAGACTACATTTTCTCTCATATATGGAGTCGATACCTAAAAACAAACAAAATACATGAACATACTAGGAGGCCTGTTTGTGAGGGTGGGGGGACAGTAGGAGGGGAGGAGGACAAAAGAGGGCGATGGTGGTAAATACTGCGTCTTTTTCCTTCAAAGAAATAGAATTATGTACCTAACCCCGGAAAATCTACTTCAAAGCAGCAACCCATTATACTTGCTTAACTCACAGCTTCCAAATTTTAAATGTTAACCTTGTCCTTTCCTAGGTAAATCCACTTCTTAAAATCATTGCCTTTATTTTATTGATAGGAAAACTAAGACATTTCCTAAAAACATCACTATCAAAGATCTTGAAATAGAATTGATGACTTCCTATCATTGTCTACCTTTAACCAGTAAAAGATTATTCCAGCCAGACATAGTAATCCCAGCACTCTGGAGGCTGAGCAGGAGAATTCTGAATTTGAGGCTAGCCTGGGCTATGCAGTGAGAATATCCACAAAATGAGGGGTGTGAGGAAACAGTACAGCACCTGCCTCGAAAATTGTGAAGCTCTGAATCCAAACTCAGTACCACCAAAAACAAAACAAAAAACTAATGGATGTGAAAAAATGACCCATAGTAAGCATATTGGAAATAAACCTCACTAATTTTATAGCACCATTATCTCTCTAACCTTTGTGCATTCCTTAAGTACCACTTAGAGCATAAAAATTGATGGTTGTAGTATGGCTTTATATTTCTTTAAAATATTAACTAAAGTGGTTTTGTAATTTGTGAAATACAGTAACTAATGCTATTTGGTTTTAAACCAAAACTGTATCTTAATCACCAAGCTCAAGACAGCAAGAAAACAATATTGTCACTTGAAGGTTGCCTCAGTCTACAGATCAGCATCTAATCAAATGCCTTTGAATTAATCCCAACAGAAAGTCATGGATCAACCTTCAAAGCCCATCCCAGAAAGTGCTAACACACAGGACAGTTAGCATAAGGGCAAGAGAACATCTCAAACCTTTGAGCTAAAAAAACAATACAGAAGTTGGAATAAGATTATTCAAATAATAAGATCATTAATACTTTATAAGAAACACTGCATTATCTCTTTTGTGGCACAAAATTCCTTAGGTTTCAATCGTGGCTTAGTCGACCTCTGTTACTCAGTGCTCCTGCAAGTGGCCAGCATCTGAGCTAGCAGCACCCTACAGGTGGCTCCTGCTTGCTGTGTAGCTCTTGGGATAAATGTGTTTATACTTTGAACAGTCACCTGGATACTGTAAAGATGGTTATTATGCATCACTCGTCTGTGAAAATTCTTGCCTTCCTTCATCATTTCTTCAGTCTTTTTATCAGTAGACATAAGATTTTCTATATATGTGAGTCTTCTATGTACAGCTCATCTCCTGGAAAGAGCTGGAGTGTAGAGTCCTCAGTGATTGGTGTGATGGGTAGCCACCTTTCAGGCCCTTCTGATGCATGAGCCAAACAAAATCTGTGCAAAGCAGAGAGAAAGGCAAAGTTTTCAAGTCTTCTTACTTCATAGAACTGGGCGGAAGGGAGGGGGTGCCAAGCAAATTTTTTTGGGCATGAAGCTTTCAGTTGCTTCTGACAGAGATAACCACTGGGAGTCCATCACCTCAGCATTGTCGGGGTCGACGGGTGGAGGCTGGCTGAGGCAGCACAGGTAAAAGGTGGTGTCAAACGGTGACCATGAGACAAGTGCATGAAGGGCATGACTCAGCCGCTCTAGTTGTGTGGCATCCAAATGTTGGGTGTGCAGTGCAGGTGTGTTGCCAGGCTGGACAGTGGTGCGAGGGTGCAGGTAGGCTCCTGGGTCAGGTCCACAGGCTCAGGACCCACCGAGGCCACAGCATGCCCACCTCAAAGGCCTCACTTTTAAACAGAACTCATCTATCATCAGTCAGCAAGACTGTGAACCCTGACTTAGCAATAGGAGAAGGGGGCAGTGTTGCGTCAGGGATAACCCAGCAGACTTTCCTCTCGGTGTGCTGCTTATCTAAACTGTTGGTGGCACACCCTTTTAAAGAAGTAAAACATTTTGCCTTGCTGAATGACTCCTGAGTCTTATTTCTAACAATATGATTAAAGCAAATTATATAAATATATGAAATGTCATAGTGAAACCTATTGTTTTGTACAATAAAAGTGCAAAATAAATAGTTTCTCTAGGTTAGCATTCTGGGCATGGCTCTGCTTGGGGTCTTGCAGAGCTATAGTCAAGGTGTCAACTGAGGCTACAGGCTTATCTGGGGCTCCACAGAGAAAGGGTTCACTTTTGTTGGTAGCATCCGTAGAACTGAGCGTTTGGATTTCTTGCTACAAGTGCAGGTTGCCCTCAGCTACTAGGAGCTGCCTTGGATTCCTTAGCATATGATTCTCCCAACATAATCCACAGCAGTAGCTCAATTCTTCAAAGCCAGCAAGGTAAGGACCCAACAAGAGGGATGCTACAGTTTTGTTTAACACACGTATGTCTACCACTCATGCCTTTATCTATTGGTTGGGTTCTTGGTTCTATGGATATTTTTCATGGGTTCTGGAAAAATTTCCATCATCTCTTCAAATATTTGCCTTGCCCCAACCTCTTTTTCTTTAGGATTCCAATAAACATATGTTAGAACATCTAACTAAAATTTCAGGGTTTTTTTGTTTTTTGTTTTATTTTTTGCAGTACTGGAACTTGAACTCAGAGCGTACACCTTGAGCCACTCCACCAGCCCTATTTTTGTGTTGGGTATTTTCAAGATAAGGTCTTATGAACTATTTTCCCTAGCTGGCTTCCAACCACGATCCTCCTGATCTCTGCCTCCTGAGTAGCTAGGATGACAAGCTTGAGCCACCAGTGCCCAGCAAAATTTTGTGTTTGTTATCTTACCCACCTTTGTATTTTCCATCTTTTTCAAATAGGTAAACATATGTGTTCTTTTTTATTGACATATATTTATCATATAATAAATGTCATAACATTTTCATACGTATATAATGTACTGTGATCATATCCACCATTCCTTGCTCTTTTCTTCACTTTCACTCCTCACTGGTCCCCTTCATCTTTTCAAATAGTTCCCTTTACTTTC